TACTGTACATGCGGAGTTGGAGTAACTTTGCAAAGCTTCTTCTCCGGTAACACTGTATTGCAAACCAGGGCATATAAAACCTTCACCAGACCAATTCTCGAATATAGCTCATCTGCCTGTCATGCACACTGTATAATGGACATTAATACAGTTGAACAAATCCAGAGGTATTTCACAAGAAGAATATTCCACTCCTCAGCTCGCAATAGATTACCTTATGCCACCAAGCTTGAAATTTTGGACCTAGACAACTTAGAACTATGCTGCCTACGGTCTGACCTAAACTTAGTACACAAAATTGTTTGCTACAATGTCCTATCTGTCAATGACTACTTCAGCTTCAACCACAATAACACACGGGCAAGTAATAGATACAAATTCAAAATAAACAGCTCCCAACTCAATTGCAGAAAATACGACTTCAGCAACAGAGTTGACAGTGCCTGGAACTCACTACCTGACTCTGTTGTTATAGCCTCAAACCCTCACAGCTTTAACCTCAAACAGTGTACTGTGGACTTTGCTCCATTCCTAAGAGGTCTGTAAGGGGGCGTGCATAAGCGCACCAGTGTGCCTCCTGTCCCTGTCCTACGGTTCCCATTTATTCGTACTCATTTATTATGTATATATATATCCATTTATATTTATGTTTATATGTTATGTTCATACTGTCAGGATTCCAGCATATTTTATGAGCTGACACATACTTATACTTGTTTTCTCATACATGCTTAACTAAAATAGAATCAGGTTGAATTAAGTGATTGCATAGATGGACCACAGAAAGTATAAGAGGAATTTTGTCTATATTCCGGCATTTGGGTAGGGAAAACCTGGAGGAGGGCAGGAGATTTTCCCCCTGAGATATATTAGTGCAAATTACAGATTGAGCTAGAATAATTCTTCCCCGTGTGATAGTTTTTCTACTTTTGGGGAATTTTTTTAAAAATGAAATCATTTGAAAACAGCTATAGAATATGTAAATGTAAATTTGATCTTGGGAGCTTTATGGAACATAATATTTTGTTATAAACCCCCATTTTATATCCCTTATTGTTTCTGAAATGATTGCATGTTTTGGTCCATAAACAAATGTAACTTTCTGGAGGAAAGGATGACAACAGAACAGTTACAGTTAGGAGAAAAACGGAACATGGATGGAAAAATTCATCACCACCCACAAGAGAGGACTAGTTGGTGAAGATGATGGAACTTGCTGAGAATGGCTAAATTTATTTCTTTAAATTGCAAATAGATAGTATCTATATTTCTTGGTGTCAAGAACCCCTTACAGACGTTTTGTGTGAAAGAAGAAAAAAATGGACTTGGGGAATTTAAGGTGAAAGTGAAAGTCCAGGCCCCAGTGGGAGACTAAAACACTACAGCTTTAAAATATGCTTAGAATTTCAGGTTAATAAGAGCTTAGGATGACCTGCAGCAAGATAAACCCAAGTTTATTTCGATTCAAGGAGCAATGACACAGTTGATGGTTTACATATAAGAAGATGAAGTCCATCTTGTCCGTTCATCACACATGGATTTGGAATTGTCGAAGCACTGGAAGCAATCTTGGAGATGTATCTACCAACGCAAGATAATTGCGCGCTAGATGACTTTATCCCATTAAGTATTATGCAGCACTGCAATCAATCAGTTGCTCTTTGTGGAAAAAATGGGCAGCTTATGGCTCTTGAGCTAATCCCCAAAGTGCTTTTGGATGAGATCAATTCAAACCTCTGCCAAGGATGATCTGTGCCTTCCTAGCAGAAGCCTTGGAAGAAGTGGAAAGGAGAGGAGAGAGAAGGAGGGAGAAGAAAGAAAAGACAGTTACCTAGCAAGAAAGGAGATAGAACTTAGAATCATAGATTTGGAGGTTTCAAATGGTTGTCTATTTTTGAAAACCTCTAGTGATGGAGCACCCACAATTCCAGAAGGGCAAGCTATACCAGTGGTCGCCAACCAGTGGGCCAGGGACCACTGGTGGTCCACGAGAAAATTTTGGTGGTCCACAGAGAAATGTCATCCCCCAAAGCAATTAATCCAGGCTGTGTGGGAACACAAAGAGAAAGAAAGACTTCTGCTGCTTTCCTTGCATGAAGCCAAAAGTCTCTCTCTCTCTCTCTCTCTCCCCCTGAGAACAGAGCTGGAGAAGGTATCCTGTGATCCCAAATAAAGAATGATCGATTGGTAGGAAAATGGGGTGGGGAATTTTCCTGCAGACTTTTTTGGGGATTTTCCCAAGGTCTCTGGTCCGGGAGATTTAAAATTATGAGTTTGGTGGTCCCTGAGGTCCAAAAGGTTGGAGACCCCTGAGCTATACTATTGATTATTCTCCTTGTGAGAAATTTTTCCTTCCTTCTAGGTTGGATCTCTCTTTAACAAGCATCCACTCATTACTTCTTGCCCAGCCCACAGGGGCTTTGGAGGAGAAATCCATTCTCTCTTCATGTCTCCCATCCAATTCTTCTCTACAAGACAAACTTCTGCTCTGTGATCTATTATTTGCTATGGAATCAGGTTCTTTCCTCACTCCTATTTTAAGGTATCACAAGACTCTATAATTCTACTGCAACAAACTGACACAGTTTCCTATTAACACCTGATTTTCGTGCTCCACTATCATAATTTTTAACTCTTCTTTTTCTAACCAGGTTCATCCGTCACCAAGCTTCATATATGATTCCCTAAAGCTGTAATTTACAGACTACAATCAGCAGGTTCTGACCAGTTCTGGAGAACCAGTACTGGAAATTTTGAGTAGTTCAGAGAACCGGCAAATACCACCTCTGACTGGCCAGACCCTCATCTATTCTCTGCCTCCTGATTGACTGGGTCTTCTTTGGTTGCCCTGTACAGGAGAACAGAGCTGGAAAGTAGGTTAGTGGGGTGGGGAGGGAATGGGGATTTTACAGTATCTTTCCTCTGCCACGCCCACCAAGCCACGCTCACAGAAGGGGTAGTAAACAATTTTGAATCCCACCACTGACTACAATGGTTTGAGACCACAATCTCACAGGTTTGAAGGGACCATGCAGGCAAAAAAACTAAATAAAATGTTGAAATGAAGCTTGATGAATTTAATGAATAATTAATGAAGGGATCTAATGAATAATCCGTGGGTTTTTTTGTTTAATGTGTCTCCTGAACTGGAAAACGGAACAATGGGACTTCTTCAGTAAGTAAAAGGGCCCTGACTCTGCATTTAACCCAGTAAATGAAAAAAACGGCCTGATGGTCATAAGTCCAGGTAACCATGTACGACACTCTTTGCAGTGGTCGTTAAGTAAACACCATGGTCATAAAATGAACTCATTGTCCGTAGTTGTGTGTATGGCAGAGACAATACCAAGGATGCTCCCACTGTGTCCTATATTAATAAAATCTGAAAGGAAGGAAGGAAGGAAGGAAGGAAGGAAGGAAGGAAGGAAGGAAGGAAGGAAAGGAAAGGAAAGGAAAGGAGGGGAGGAAGGGAGGGGAGGAA